TACTATATATATTTTAGGACAGCAGCAATCCACCTTGCTTTTTTTCTGTACTTGGACTAAACAGCCCAGCAAATTGCTCAAAATTAAACCATTGCTTCAATTTTTGGTCATTAAAAGATCCATCTACAACAGGTAAGATATTCACTGTTTACAACCTTTGCACCAAACCCCTATTAAAATAATCGATGCTATTGATTTAAGCCAGTAGAAAAAGATATTACATGGAATACATCCAGACTTGAAAACAGAAACCCAGCTCTTAGTCAAGAAGTCGACTTAGTTTTGTAAAATGTTTGTGATCAACTTTCTCAAGGACCATTTCAAAAGTTGTTACAGATATTAAATATTCATGTCCTTTACATAGAACTCCACTTCAAACAATATGAACTCTTTAACATTTCTTCTTTTCTTTAGTTCAATTTATTTTAACGATACTCTTTATTTTTGCCAGACAGAAAAGAATAATAGAGGAATAATATGCACGTGAAACATGAAAAAAGTTCTTTTGATTAACTTTTATAACTACTTTCTGTCCAAAACATGCCCTAAAATACAGCCATGTCTATTCTGCCTGTTGGAATACTAGGAAATCAATTTTTTTTATGTTTTGAAACACCACTTGCTTACGTGCAGAAACACGAGATGATCTATGTTTGTTATTAAAAACACTCTAGTCATTAAGACAGAAATATGCATAATAAAACTAAAGTCTATAACAATACCAAGCCAAGAATATCCGTGTCGTCTCCTCTCATTAGACTAATAACGAACAGATCTCAGAAACGCCGTCACGGCTGTGTATGTTGTGACTGCTGGGCTGACTGACGAGTTCATTGGCCTAGACGTAAAACTTCAAGTTCGGGCGCGCTGCCCAGAATGTGCCACGACCCCCATCCCCCTCCACAGCGCTGTGTACCGTCTGCCACGATAACAAGAGCGCAAACTGAGCCGCATTCCACTACAGCATGGAGGTAAAGACAAACACGGAGTACAAACACAAGGAACGCAACAATACACATCTGTCTGTGCAAAAAGACATAAAAGGCATGTTCGTGCACAGCCTCCCTCACAGAGCTGAGGATGAAAAGCTCTGTTGTATTCTGCGATAACTGGAAATGAAGTGTTCTGTGAGTCCGACCATCACCTACTGTATGTCGAAATAACACGGACACAGTTCTGATTGCTTTAATTGTGTCTTATCACAAAATCAGATGTCTGAGAGACTAAATGTACTTGAGGGCTTGGTGCTCTAACCTATGCTTTGTTTGAGCATTACCTTTTTTTAATTAATATCACACATGTGTTCAAAGTGCTGGAAAGGTTTAAAGTCGATCGGCTCACCTGTGCCCGCTCCACAGCCCTCTCTGCTGTGTTTACGTCCACCACATCGTCTTTGAGAGCAGCCAGCCTGGCCTCCAGACCCTCCAGCACATTCTGAGCCGCACGAGTGGCTTCGAGACGAGCTACAGCTGGAAGGAACGTAGTGTGGCGTATAGAAGGAAGAAAATAAACACTTTACAACATTTGAATAAGGAATAATGTTATCCGTCAGAAGCAAACAATAAGCTACATGGGATTTTCCAATTTTATGTGTGGTGATTTATTTATTTTTTTTTACTTTGTATGAGAGTGTAAAGTATTAAACAGCTTTACCCCCCACACCCTCCATCTACATGAGAACACTATCTTTCCAAAACAGTATTTTTCCTTGTGAACGTGGCACCATTTCTAGAAATTAATAAAACAATCCAAATATGCTGCTGTACTTTTGCCATGTCCGTGTGTGGTACTGTGATGCTGCCACAAAAATACACACGAAACGGGAATGATCTAAATTATAATCACAGGAAGAAAAAGGTGAGAGCAAAACACGTAACCTACTTTGTGGACTGACGAGGATTCGCAAAAAACTTTTGTGAACTGGGCGATGTTTCAGTTTATAATATCCTCCAAAATTTGGAAAATTTCAGGCAGAATATCCAGAGGAACAGCTGGACAAATTATACCTTTACTGTTTAGTATAATTCACTGTTTGTTAAAACTACTCTCATATCCCACATTTTTTGAAAGGTGTACTTGTTGTATACTGTATTTTTTTTTAGGGATGCACAATATTGGATTTTTGGCCGATATCCGATATGCCGATATGTTAAAACTTGTTTGGCCGATAACCGATACCGATATTTTGTATAAACTTTCCTTTGTCAGAACATAGCCCTCTTATTTAGGCTAATTTGCTACAAAAATTGTGCAACAGCTGTAAGAGCTGGTGACATATATTCAGTAACAGCCATATGATATGCATATCACATGAACTTATATTAAATGAAAAGTGTTAAATATTATTTATTAGCATTAGTCACCTGTGATGCTGTCTCACTTGTGGAGGCTTGGTCCAGGTTTATAGCTGCAGTGTGGGATCCTCTGCACTCTTGTGCATGAAGGACAGGCTTTTTAAGTTCAAAGTTTTTGTCTATCCATTGTGCCATAAGACTAATCATGCTAACGGGGCTAACACGACGTCCAAATGTCTGTGGTAAAACTCACCCAAGTGCTATCAGTTATTAGCTTCTCAATGACGTATGAAACAATGGCTTGTAACTCTGGTAAAGTTACGACGGAAAAATATCTCCGATTGGGAACGATGTAGTGAGGCTCAACGTAGTCCAAAAATCTTCGGAATCCGACATCCTCAACAAACAAAAAAAACTTCCACATCGCTGACATTTTGAATTTTCCTCTCTACCCTGCTGCTGCTGTTGTTTTGGTGCATTGTTTTTGTACCATTAGTGCTTGGCGTACTCTTAGTCTTGTGTATTCTTAGTTTAGTGAATGTATAATATTATTAGTTCATGACTTGGATCCTACTAACGTTTTTTCTTTACAATTTGTGTTTTTGTTGGATGCAACTGAGACACTGCATACATAGTTTTGTCCCAAATCATGTACTATGTGTGGTGTGTATGACAAATAAAGCTCTCGGACTCTGATGAGATCAGGTAGGCGCGCGTGACGTCATCACGTTGTGCTGGCGCTGCAGACATCCTTGTCACTGGGTTGTCATACAAAAACAGTGTCTTTTACACTGCCTGGCCAGTTTCCACCTGGATTTAACTAAGTAAATAGGTACGAGCCTCTTACTGGATAATTACTGCATGGGCGATTATCTTTCAGCTGGCAACAAGTTATTTAACCCCAACTGGTGCAATGAGTTGCTTCTCATTTCTTAAACAACCCTGTTGAAAGACATTGTGTGGTCGTGGAAAAGATGTCAGTCTGTTTGAGAAGGGTCAAATCATTGGCATGCATCAAGCAGAGAAAACATAGAAGGAGATTGAATAAACTGCTAAAGTTGGGTTAAGAACGGGACCCATCGTCTTCGAGGAAGAAATCTGGCCGGAAAAATATCATGAATGATCGTGATCGGCGATCATTTAAATGTTTGGTGAAATCATATAGAAGAAAAACAACAGTAGCACTCAGGGCTGTGTTTAATAGTGAAAGTAAGAACATTTCCACACGCACAATGTGAAGAGAACTCAAGGGATTGGGACTGAACAGCTGTGTAGCCTTAAGAAAACCACTAACCAGTGAGGCTAACTGGAAAAAAAGGCTTGAGTTTGCTAGGGAGCATAAAGATTGGACTCTGGAGCAATGGAAGAAGTTCATGTGGTCTGATGAGTCCAGATTTACTCTGTTCCAGAGCGATGGGTGCATCAGGGTAAGAGAGACAAGCGAAGTAATTCACCCATCATGTCATAGTGTCTAGTCATCAATGCAAGATCTTGGTGAAAAATTAATGCAACACTGGATGGAAATAGATCTTGTGACATTGCAGAAGTTTATTGAAACAATGTCACAGAGAATGCATGATGTAATCAAAGCTAAAGGCGATCCAACGAAATATTGGTGTGTGACCTTTTATTTTTTTGGTGGCGACTTTTTTTTTTTGGGCCAGGCAGTGTATATCGGTGAGTTATTTTGATGGAATGGCCGATGTCCGATATTTAACTTTAACGCTAAGATTGTCTGGTACTGATATCATGCCGATAATATCATGCATCCTTTTTTTTATTTTTTTTTTGTATTATTGCAATTCAATAAAGTGAAAAAAGTATTTTTAGGTTTAGATTATTTGTTGCAATTATAAAGGTTTTTTGTTCTATTAAAGGAAATTTTATTGTTCAGCCTTATATGCTCATAGACGTAATAAATTGACTGTTTCGATGTAGTCGACACGCTGGCATCTGCAGCACAAATCCAAGCAGGTAATTTGCCATTATTGTTACTTCTGTCACGTACAGCATCATAAATGAGGCAGAAAGCGAGACCGACACCATTGTTTACAAAAAGTTACATTTAAGCTGGATGGATAGCTGGAATCTTTTTTAGAAAAATACAGCTTGGGGACTGCTAAAACGCTGTTTCCGTGTAGAAATAAAGCTCGAGAGAAATTCCCAAACATGGTTTAAGTGGTATTTTTATTTTAAACGCTTGACTTTCAAAAAAAATCACAGCTACAGTGCCACGAACACCTGAAATTTTTACAGACGTTACGCAGATTATAGTTGTTAAACTAATTTTTACTTAGTAGAGCTTCCTGCTCTTTTTCGTGACGGTCTCTCTTTTGCCTCTAAAAGTAAATTAAATATGAGGTGGAAAGGCCCCAGTAAAAAAAAAAAAAAAAAAAAAACAACTCAAGAAGAAGCAAAATTGTTTTCCTTGAGTGTCATCCAAATCCTCAAGAGTCATAAAGCCTGAGAAGCACAGAAACACATGCAAGCACACACAGTTGTGTTGAGTGTGATACTCGAGTCTTCCTTTACAGACTCGTTTTTGGCAAAAAAGCAGCGCACATAAATTCCTGAGGTAAAACGGTGACTAATTTTCAGAACTGCTCCACATCCAAGTCACGTCCTCAGGTAGATGTGAGCTGACAGAAGTATGACCTGAAGCAAAAATCGCTCACGTACACTCGCAAACCTGTGAGCTTGTGGAGGCCATAAAAGGGCATCAACTATTACTGGCAAAAGTTTCATATAAAAGCTGATGTCAAATTTACATAAATCTGAGGACATTAGACCAAAAACAAGGAGAAAGAAAAGGTCCAGAATATCAGTTCCACTGAAAGGCACTTTGGTGTTGTTAATCATCTTCCTGGAATTAATTTCTCCTGCCACTGACTTAGATGATTTGAATAAAACAGCTTAAATTACCTTCTTTGACTTCCTGTTCCCTCCTCTGCAGCTGCTGCAGAGTGGAGGCGTGATGTGCAGAAACCACCACCAGGTGGTCTTTCAGGGAGGGCACGGCTCCCAGCGTCCCTGCCTCTGCAGACAGCTGCTCCAGTCGTGGAGTTAGGGCCATGACCTGAGCGAGCCGCGACTGCAGAACACAAGACCGAGGAGAAAGTTCACTAATGGGTTTGTCATCAGGGGGTCATCATGGAACTCTGCGCTTCTGATTACACCTAACAGCAGGGAAATTAATAATTCAAGTCCAATTAAGCACAAAAACTAAAACGTTCAGACACAAAGGGGCACTTTTTCTACTTAAAATAATGGAATTCATTTGCTTCAAAACAAAAATGAAAACCTCATTAATTTAATTAGGGTTTTTAATGCAAAACATTGCTATTTTTATTACTTTTTAAAGGCTGCACCATTAAGCAACTCGCATTACACACGCATGTTTTAAAGCATTTTGAAGGCATGTGTTTTTGCAAGATAAAGTTCTTTTGTTCTTGCCAAATATTTTTGAATAAAATTATTTTCTATCAAAAAGTTAAATTACACTTTTGCATGAAACTGTTTGGGGGGTTTTGTCGCTGTTTTCTCAGTTGAACATCTGTTTTACTTTGCATATGCATGAGCGTGGAGCATAGATAGACTGTGTACAAGCTGCTGGTGGTGAGGCTTCAGCGTGTCCACTGGAATTCTCCCTGACAACACTCGGCAGACATTTGCGCAGTAACAAGGAGGTTGTTCGAATGAGAAAACGGCAACAAACTAAACGGTCATGTAAAAGTTCTGGCTAATGCAGCCTTCTTTCACATCAGTTTGTTGTTTTAGAAAACATGTGTCATAAGCCTAAACATTAAAAATAAAAACAAGCACCAGTTGGCTGAATGAAGATATTTGCCTCTTTTTCCAAACCCTGTGCACTCACTGATGTCACAGCTGATACGGTGATAGCTATTAGTTAAAACATCTCTTCAAAGTTGACTAAACTATTCCTTTAAGAAAGATTTAACTGCCTTGAGAACCGAGTCACTAAACCTCACCTGACATTCTGCGCTCACTTTTCTGCGCTCGACCTCGTTGGACATTTCAACAGATGAAGTCGTCTCCAGCCACCGGTCCTGCTTCTCCAAGATCTGATTCATGTCTGCGAGTTCTACAGAAAGTGCTCTGACCCGGGTCTCGGTGTGGACCCGATCACGGGTGGCCTGGAGCTCCCGTGTGCAGACGTCCCACTCAGTCTGAATCAGGTCCATGTTAGTCCTCACTGAGTCCACGTTCACTGCCTCTGCAGGAAGACACACAGGAACACCAGCTCACATCAGAAAAACTTAAAAACTGCTTTTAAGCAGAACTTGTCATCAGCAGTGTGAATGCTTATTATTAAGAATATATTTATTAATGCTTAATAAATGCTTAATAAGCATTCATTTGTGATCCTCTTTAGATTTATTATTCTTCCGACTTCCAGTTTAACTATTCTGTACATTTTCAGCATTTTTCTCGTTTCACAATTTTTGTGCTTTTCCATCAAAACATTCAGCTCGTTCAGAAGGGTGCTATGACTTTTGGTATTGATACAACTTTAGCTTTTTGAAATATTTAGCCTTTTCTGACATTTTTTTTCTCGTAGAAAATAAATTGAGCTCAATTTACATCCTTCATATCTTGAGATCTGTTTACAACCTTTTACTGCTCCTTTCACATTTTGTTCTGGCTCAGCTTCTTTCAGCTTCCTTGAGCAAATTTAAACTTTTTTCCAGCTACTTTTCAGCTAATTCCAGCTGTTTTCTCAGCCGTTTTGTGCTCCTTTGAGATTCTTTCTGCTAACTACAACATTTTCCTTACAATAATTTTACCTTCTTCTGCTCATTTCATCTTTTTATGCAAGTTTCAGCTTTTTCTGCTATTTCAGCTACTATTTAGCTGTTTTATGCTAATTTTAGCATTTTCAGCTAACTCCACTTTTCCCCCCCCACTCATTTCAACTTTTGTCTGCTTAATTCAGCAAAAAAATGTGCTCTCTCCACTTCCATCTGCCAATTTAAGCTTATTCTGCTTCTTTAGCTACTTTTCAGTGTTTTGTTTTGTGCTCATTTCTGCTTTGTTCAGCCTAATTGGGCACAATTGTGCTCTCTCCACTTCCTTCTTGTAATTTAAGCTTCTTTCTGCTGTTTCAGCTACTTTTCAGTTATTCCTTGCTCAGTTCAGCTTTTTTTTTTGGCGTAAGTTACTCATTTTTGTGCTCATTCCTGCTTATTTTAACCAAGTTCAGCAAATATGTGTTCTTTCTGCTTTCTTTTGCTAACTTAAGCTTGTTCTTCCATTTCAGCTACATTTCAGCATGTTTTTAGCTAAGTTCAGCTGTTTTTCAGCAAGTTCTTCAGCAATAAGCATTCACACTGCATTTTCGCAGGAAATGCAATTTCTCTAGTTAGTACCGGTATTTACTTTCCGCATCTATTTAATATTAAATAAATATGTAAAAAGTATTTTTTTATATATATACATAAAGACACGTCACAGCTACGGGTAAGTTGTAAAACATGTCATGAACACAGTTTTAGAGGGAAAATTATTAAATAAATTAGCTGCTTGGTAAGAAGAACCAGTTTAGCAAAACTTAGATGATTTTGTGCGTTTGGTTTGAAGTTTATGAGGAAAATTTGCTCTTCATACCTCTCTCGAGCTGGTCCATCAGGCTCCGGCCCTCCTGAATCACCTGGCTAACTGGGCTTTCCTTGGCTTTGAGGTCCAACTCCAGGTCCTAAAGTTAAGCATAAATAAGCATTTATTACATATATTAGATTTGACACTGTAGCTTGGTGGTCAGTGCTGTGGTCTTGTAAGCCTGACACAATCTGCAGCTTCACCTTTAGCTTCTCCTGCAGGTCTGGGGTGTCAGGTGTAGTTTCAGGAGGTGCAGAAGCCAGCGTCAGAGCAGATGTCTTCCATGTTTTCATCCAGTTGAACAAGTCAGAAACCTTGTTTTCAAACCTGCAGAACACAGTCCGTGATTTAGTGTTTGCAAGCCGGTTGTTCTTACACCCATTTTGTTAATTGAGATGAAGAGTCACATTTCTTACAGTCTTCTGGTTTCTGCATCTGTCTCCACCATTCGTTTCTTACAGGGAGCAGGTTCGGCCAGCTCCTGTTCAACTAAGGAAGTGGTCGGTGCGACCGTATCCACGATGGATTGTTCTCCTACTTGAGGCATCCCAGCGTTCGTAGCAGCCTCCATTAACTGAGAGTTCGCGCATGAAGGAGAATGAAAACAAAACGCACATAGTTAATAAGTTGCCAAGCAAAGAAAACATTATAATGCTTCTTATTTACAAGTTTGCTGAACGGCATTAAAATGACGAACAACTGTTGAAATTTTATTTTCGACGCTTGTATGAAACTACAAACAAAACACTGAGCACTCGGAGAATAAGGAACTGCACGACGCCCACCTGTGACGAGCAGTCCTCCAGCTTCTGAACCAGAGCGTCCCATCTGTGAGTCAGCTCCTCTGTGTCGGCCTCGATCTTCGCTCCCGCCTCACAACTTTGCAGCAGCTGCATCACATCCTGTCCCGCATCAGACAGCTTGTCCAGAATCCGTCTCTTCTTCTCCATGTCCTCGTTCAAAATCTAAATAAGACAAAGGTAAACATGCAACTAGAAAATATAAAATAAAAAAAATACAGAAACTAAGAGGAATCAGTCGTCTACTTACAGCCAGTCTTCGAACATTTGAATCAAACTCAGAGGAGTATTTAAAGTCGCTCGTCTGAACTTCATTTAAGGCCTCCTCTTTTTCATCCAACCACGCTCTGAACAAACTCTGCAGGAAAACACTTTTTTTATTTTTTATTGTATAACAAAAGCACTAGACAAACAACTTTTAGGCTTTATGTTATCCAAACTATTATTATTAACCTAAGCATCATGCAGGTTTTTGAGCTGTGGGAGGAAACCCGGAAAAAATCCACTCAAACATGAGGAGAACATGTAAACTTCACGCAGAAAGACCCCAGGTTCAACTCGGGGATTGAACCCAGGACCTTCTTGCTGTGAGGTAACGGTGCTAACCACTAATCCACAGTACTACAACTACTTTCAAAAACAGGTGTGTTTGAAAACAAAAAACAGACTTGGTTTTCGTGAGAAGTGGAGAAAAAAGTTTTAAAAAAAAAACTTGTTTAATCTCTGCAACATTTTTGTGAATCAATATAATTTAGCTCAGTCTTCCACTGTAGATGCATTATAACAAAATATATCGCCAATCAAGAGTTTTGTAGATGATGTGACCATGGATTATGAGGTGGAACATCTCACCTGGTCTGATAAAAGCTGCTGCCAAACCAGAAACACCTCCTGCAGCTTTTGCCACCGTTCTTCTGTCCAGCGACACACTGCTGCCCAGCGTTCACCCAGAGACTGAATGCAGACAAAAATTAATACATTTCAATAGAGAGCATATTATAACTTGTATCAAGTAAAACTAGATACAAAGAAATTCTTCATTTCTCAACAAAAGTTCTGGATTTAACTTGAAATGCAGACATCAGACCTGCAGTTGTTCCTCCAGGGCAACGGTGGTGCTGTCGCCACTGTTCTCATCCACCACCACCACCATGTGAGTCAGAGAGTTCACCTTCACCTGCTCCGCCTCCAGGTCGTTCTGGAGTTCCTGTGCAGGAGTACACATAGTGAACTCCACATATCACCCTTTAAATGAGCTGCTAGAAGAGTTATTTAGGTTTAGGGCGACCGTACGAAGATGGACGAGGACTCATTAAAGAGGTGAAGGTGATCACAGGACTGGTAGATTTTAGAGCAAAACATGAACAGTTACCTGAATAGGTACACACTTTTCTATACAATTCAATTCAATTTCACTTTATTTCTGGACAAATGTGAATGACAAGCAAGTGCAATCTTTCTACACCTTTCATATGCATTTTTTTCATCTGTGTTCAACGGGAGGAAAAAATAAATAAACTCAATTTACTTTGTGTTGTTCTACATGTTCCTTGTAGGTGTTGAGGTCTTCAGCTGCTGGTTGTGTTTCGATCCTTTTGATCCGCTCCTCCGTCAGTGTCAGCCAATCAGAAAGCTGCTGTAACTGCTGCTGCTGAAGATCCATCAGAACTTCATGGAGCCTGGAAAACGAGGGGGGATAAAAGCAAGAGCACAGATGGTACAAAGGTAGAAAGAAGTCATAATTTATTCACCTTTTAACTGGACTGTTTCCATTAAATTAAACGGAAAATTCTGCATTTGTTCTAGTTTAAACCTCACTGCTCCTCAAATCCAAATAACGTAAAACAGGTTAAACTAGAGAAATTGCATTCCCTGCGAAAAAGAAGTGTGAATGCTTATTGCTGAAGAACTTGCTAAAAAACTGCTGAAATGTAGTTGAAATGTAAAAACATGCCTAAGATAGCAGAAGAAAGCAGAAAGACCACATATTTTATGAAATAGGTTTAAATAAGCAGAAATGAGCACACAAATTAGGAAATTACCTAAAAAAGATGAAATTAGCAAAAAAAAAAAAAAAATGGCTGAAAAGTAGCTGAAAAAGCATAAACTACCAGAAGGAAGTAGACAGAGATGAAAAGAGCTCCAAAAATAGGGAATTAGACAAAAAAGTAAAATTTTACACAAAAAACAGCTAAAAAGTAGCCGAAATGGCTGAAAAAGCTGAAACTAGCAGAAATAATTTCATTAGGCTGAAAATAGCAAAAATTACCACAAAAAAAATTGAATTTATCTGAAAACAGCCGCAATTAGTTAAAAATGCTAAAAAGGTAGCTGAATATGTAGAACATGCTTAAATTAGCAGAAGAAAGCAGAAAGAACACGTTTGCCCAGTTAGGCTGAAAGAAACAGAAATGAGCACAAAGAAGTGGAAATTACCTGAAAAAAGTAAAAAAAATAGCAATAAACAAAAAAAAAAACAGCTGAAAAGAAGCTAAAAAAGCAGCAAGTAGTTGAAATTACCAGAATTCATTCAATCTTTATTTAGACAGGTAAATCCCATGGAGAAAGGAGGGGGAGAGAGCACGTTTTTGCTGAATTAGGCTGAAGAAAAGTTTAAAGGAGTGCAAAAAATGTGGAATTAGCCAAAAAAGCTAAAATTAGCATAAAACAGCTAAATAGTACCAGTAGTTGAAATAGCAGCAAAAGTTGAAGCCTGCATAAATAAGCTGAAATGAGCATAATAAGCTGAAATGAGCATAATAAGCTGAAATAAGCAGAAAGTTAGAAGAAGCACAAAAATGTAGTTAGCAGAATAAAGCTGAAAGGAGCAGCTGAAATTAGCTGAAAGTAGCTAAAAAACAAAAATTTAAACATGCACAAGGAAGCTGAAAGAAGCTGAACCAGAACAAAATGTGAAAGGAGCAGTACAAGGTTGTAAACAGATCTAAAGAATTGAAGGATGTCAAACGAGCTTAACTCATTTTCTATGAGGAAAAAAAGTGGCAGAAAAGGCTAAACATTTCAAAAAGCCAATGTTGCACTAAGATCAAGTCAAAGCACCTTCTCCTGAACAAGCTGAACGTTTTGATTTATGATTTGTTGAAATAGCACAAAAATTGTGGAACGAGAAAGATGCGGAAAAATGTACGGAAGATAAATGGATCACAATAGTGTGAATGCTTGATGAGCATTCAATTACAAATCACCAAATTACATTAATCGTTTGCAAAGACAATACTGGTACAACGCGAGTGTTTCTACCTGGCCTGGCGGTCCATGCTGGCCACTCTGAGGGACTCCCAGCGAGAGTTGAGGAGTGTCATCTGCTCCCGAATTTCATCCTCTTCTTCTTTTGTGAGGTTGCCCTGGGCGATCAGGTGGTTGCCTGCCTGCAGCACATTACCCACACTGCTCTGATGAGCTGTCAGCTCCATCATGAAGGCCTTCAAAAGAAGACAAACACAAGGTTCCAGCAAGTTTACAGGAAATCACTGATTTGTGTGCTGAGGGGAACAAATGTTCCCGCACAAAGAAAAAAGCAAAGACCAGTGGAGTAAAAAAATAAACACAAAACACACACGGTGTATAATCTAGCTTTACAAACATGGGCCTCTTCATCCAGTTGGCTGAAACACAACTTCATAATAAAGTGTTTATAATCTGAGGTGCCATTCTTGCAAATGATAGTCTCATATAACCATTTGGATAGTTTCTTTCTTTTTGTCCAGATCTTTTAATTTTCAGCGCTTCTAAACGACCACAAAGAGCAGTGGATGTCACCTCTGCACCATAAATGTGCATGTGTTGCTGTAGCAACAGTCCGCACGCACAAACTGAGTGGTGAGCTGGCAAACAGACCGAATGGGAAACGGAAAAGGAAGGAAAGCTACGTTAAGAAGAACTACTGAGAGTTTGCTTGTATTTCCTTGTAGCAAAAAGAAACTCCACCTGGAGCATGTTGTCAGCTTGTGTGAGCACGCTGCGTGAGCAAGCGTTCTGACAGCGACTGGAAGTACTCTTGCTTTTGCAGGTTAAAGGGCACTGCATGGTCAAAAACAAACCAACTTTTCCACACTAAAAAGCTTTTAGAAGAGACTTTGGAGCTTATTGCTCCAAAGTCTCTCAACCAGGTTTCTGCTTTGACCTGGATTCCAGTCATTCAGCTTCAAAAATATTCACATTTCAGCCAAGGGAATCCATCCAAAGCCCTTTTACACACATGCACAGACACAAACTGTGCTAATACGCCCCCATATCAAGCAAACAAGTATGCTCCAGGCCGGGGCACTTTGTAATGCTGAGCGCCACAGATCTTAGTAGAATTCCTGGCATTCCCAACATGTACAGAGCATGCACTGCTAGTTGTGGGAGGCCTCGCTTTCTCTGCCGGATGCTGCTGTACGTCCCGATGAAGGGTGACAGGTATGACAGCCAGTGTGAGTCAAACAACATGTGTGTCATATTTCTCAGGTTATCCTAAATCTTTAAAAACAAATTGTAATTTAACACAACTTTATTCAAAATGTAGGTTAAAGATATTGGAATATCAGGGATTTTCAGTCTATTAATCAGACTTGAAAAAGTAAAAAGTCAAATAAAACTTTTTAGATGCATTTCTAATGCTGATTTTAGCCGACCTGTTTGTTTCTTCCTACCTCATGTGTGTGGAACTGCTCTTTAACCTCTTCCACATCGTCTGACACCTCCTCTTGCATTTGTAGTGCATCCTCAGCTGACAACAGCCAAGTCAAAACCTCCTCCAGTGTCGTTTGGTAGCCGTCGAGATCTACTTCCAGTAAGCCTTCCTCCATCTCCCCTTCCGTTTCTGTTAGGGTGCTGGGGGTCTCGGGTCGTGGGCTGCTGCCTGCCTCGTCCGTCTGCACATTCTGAGAGAAAAAACAGACACGATGATATAACTTAAACTATACGTACACGTATTTATATCCAAAGTACCCTGCACTGTATCGTTACGGGATGAAGTCGAAAAAAATAACTTCTTAATTTGAACCTTTCATGACCTTAAAGGTGCTCAATGTAAAAGTCATAAAGGCAAGTCAACAAAAAAAAAAAGAAACAAAATCCACAAGTTGTTTTTTTTTTCCCCCTCATAGCGATGGTTAATGTGTCAAATGCAAAAAAAAGGCACCTATTTCCAACTACCACAAATGTCTGTTTACCTATGAAAACAGTTGAATGGACTAAAAACAGGTTAACGATAGCGACGGCCATAAAAAAAAAAACGTTTGGGATGGAAAAATGCAGCAATTTTGAATTAGTGGTACAGATTTTTGTTTAGTTTGCTGAATAAAGTATGCAGACAAAACTTATTTGTTTACATTGAGTGCGTACCAGCGTTTCCGAACTACTGTATTTTTCAGACTATAAGGCGCACTTAAAATCCTTTAATTTTCTCAAAATTCGACAGTTCGCCTTATAATCCAGTGCGCCTTATGTATTAATTCTGGTTGTGCTTACTGACCTCGAACCGATTTTATGTGGTACAACTGAACAATGTTAAGAGTTATTGTGAATGAGTTGAATAAAGTTTGACTAATCTGACTGTTTTGTTTCGCTTAATGCACCTTATAGTCCGGAAAATACGGTACATATCAATATATCTGGGGGAAATTACTTGAGTAAATTATTTTAAACTGCACCATTTCATATAACGCTGAATAACCTTTTTTTTTTTATGTTTGATGTCATAGATTGAAATAAGCACATTTAATTAAATAAAAAAACAAGTCATTGTAAAGTTCTCTGAACAACGGTGCTTATTGAATATGACAATGCCTAAACCTCCCGTTTGTTTTTCTTAATTACATCTGTGCACACCAGCTGACGGGTTTTAAAATGGACACAGACATCTACGGAGGTCTGTGCAGTTCTACATCAGGCTGAGTGACATGTCCTATTCAGAAAACATAAAAGAAACAAACCACAGGCTTTTTAGGATGCTGTAATGTATGACACACTGAGCAGGCCATTCCTAAATTTATGAATAAGGAGAAACAAAAACAAGCAGGATAAAAGCAAGTGTACTGCCAAGAGTCTAAAAGAAATAAGATCAGAAGTAAAGGCGTTATTTAAGGGAAGCTGAAAAGCCTCTGTATTTGCCTTTGTTAGGTTAGTTTGAGATTAAACTAACTAAAAATGAGTTTGTTTCGGTTTATAAATGTCTTTAGACACACTAGAATGAAAACTGCTTCATTCCAAATAATCCTTTTCTTAAATTCTATCATATTTTGATGCAGTTGTATTGGTTCCTAACAGCACAGAAAGTATTCAACGTTTCCATCTTTGTAGAAAAAAAAACCTCGACGGAACTCGGCTAATCTGTCTGGAACTGAACGGGATAAATCCACAGCAGCGGCAGCCAAGTCAAACATGACCAAAAAAAAAAAAAAATGCTTCTGTGTGTAGAGAACCAGTACAGTAACAAGTTAAATGGGCCTTTGTTTCCAGGGCTGAAATTACACAGTGGTAAGTTAAGCTCAGCAAAGGTCAGCAGCTGGAAATATTCAGACCTTTGGGCTATTTTGGAATAACTCGCTGTAGCATACACTGCCATAAGAGAGCAATAACGAGAAAGCTGAGACAATATAGGTCAAAACTAAACTTAAAATAGGGAAATTAACACTAAACACTGCCATCAAAACAAAGAAGTCTTTCTTGCTCCTTCTTTTGGTTACCAGCATCACTTCCTATGGGGAGGAAAATGTTCCAGGAAAGTAAACTCTTTTTTTTTTTTGTTGGACAAACCAGAACTTAAAAAGACTTTTCCAGCATCCATCCCAGGCTGTGTGAAATATGTACCCATGGGCAATAAAAACTTAAGAGGTGGTTTTGGAGTTCTCTCCCCCTCACTTCTGACTACAAGCCTCTAAAATAAGCAACCCTGTAGAACCAGTCAAACAGCTGGCAGAGAAGAGCTTAAAAGCAAGCATGAATTATCAGAGCCACATTAATGTGGTTATATTTAATTGCATCCCTTTTGCTTTACTTGTTAAATATTTGGAGTCATGAGCAACAACTTAAAGCAAAGTTGCACCGTTCAGTCATAAACTAAAGCTCAGTACTTCCCTGTCAACTCTCTGCAAACGCCCCGATTCTCACCAGTTTATCCCCACTACCCATTTACAGCTCGATGTTTCCAGTCTGCAGCGTGGTGAAGTCAAAGAGGTGAGTCACAGCTCTGCTCCCATTTTGCCCGTGCCGACTGTGCTTTTCACGAGCAAGTCCGGAGAGAACATGGCAGTGACTCATTCTGTCCAGCAACTCGCAACATACAATAACGCTGATGCTTTTAAACCAAGTGGAATCAGAACGTAAGCAGAGCAGCAAACGGTGAAGCAGATTAGAGTCCGTTTTGCGCAGCTGTTCATTCATCTTTGTGCTGAGACAGGAAAACAGCTAAAGGTGTCAAACTTGGTTACAAAATGGGTCCAAAACTCAAAACTTGGTTTAAACCAGGGGGCACAGTTTCAGACTCGGACACCTGACATCTTTTCTTGGTTGCAGTTTCCTCGGCAAGAGTTTGATCAGTCTCATTTCACCTTTTCCGTTGCTCTTTCCACATACAAATCAAAGATTACTGAAAAAGTCAAACATTTCTGTTGGCATCAAAGTGGGCCAACTGTCACGAGAAGTCTATAATAACTAAAGTCTGCTCGGTTTGTAAGCAAAATAAGAAGAGATAAAAGTATTTCAAATTTAAAATATCACCTTGGGAACCAGAAAATATGTTAATAAGGGCCAAATTTGGCCCTAGGGCCTTGAATTTGACACGTGTGAAAGTAAACAGCATTTTCATGGATCTGTATAAAAGACATCTTAATAAATGCAATCAGGACACGTTTGACTAAGGTCTTCAGATCCATCTGGCAACACAAAAATGTGGAAAATAGCAGTTTCAGCCAGAATGTTTGGACATTAATAAGCTTGGATATATCAGTTTGACGTTTGCCTTTATCTCTGGTATAAAAAATATTTATTTAAATGTCCTTATGTGAATAATCTCTACTACAGAAAGACACCAACACACCCCAACAAGATCTGACGCAACACATTTGCTGCAGCTGATGTTCTTTGTACGTTATCTGTATTTTAGAAGTTGTGTTTTTGTTTACAACACTTTGTGTGCATTTGTGTGGAAAGTTTTCAAATAAATTCATAATATAAGTGTTAAAGAAGCTGCCTTGGTTCTGGACCTGCCTGCAAAGCTGTGCAGGTCCCAGCTGTGGATTCTTTAGATTTCATCCATAAAAAGAACACCTTGTGCTTGGTGGAAAACAGATGGAGCTCTGGCTTCTGGATGAGAAGTTCAATGATTTCAGAAATGGAACACCGATTCTGCTCCAGCTCAAACAAGAATCTGCATACCTCTTGTGTTTTCTATAAGACAGCCGTTGTATCGTTTGCTTGTTGTTGTAACTTGTCTTACCTTTGAATGCTTTCGGATGTTAACCTTACTTAATAAAATGAACTATTTATGATGGTTTTGAATGTGTAAACGCATTAAAACTCACTTGAGCTAAAATTACATTGAAAACGACTAACTTTAAACTGTACCTCCTGTATTGTATAACACTGGGAAAGAGCTTGAACTGTATATTTTACCTGCATGCTGAGCCCTGGACCTGAGCTTTCAGCCACCACTTTGTGTTTGCGAGGCAGGGTCTCCACTTCTCTGATTGCCTCCATGCTCACGTCTTTCGGCAGCACGGCGAACAGCGAGGTCACGTACATGATGATGGACTTCTTATCTGGCAACTGCACCGCCACGTCTGAGGCGAAGGGAGAGAGTCAGCAGGAGGCAGGTGGAAAGGCCAGGAGACAAATAAAGCGTGACAATCGGGGGTGGGGTGGGGTGGGGGGGTGGATGAAGAGAGAGAAAAGTGAAAATTGCAAAAGACAAATGAAGTGTGGCAGAGTGAGGTTGATGTTAAAGTTGACAGGAGATTAAACAGGAAGGAAGGTGAGAAGGAAGAAGGTTGAAACAGGTTAAACTAATTAAACAAGGCTTTGATATGGGTCAGGAACTGCCCCCCCAACCCCAGACAGTCAGGATATAGACATGACTAAATAACAGAACACAATTTTTTTTTTTACATATTAAGTCTGAAACAACTTCAAGGTGTTTGCTTTGCTGAGTTTATTCAGCTGCTGGTGAGGCTTCCTGACCGCAGACAGTTTTCAGAAGTAGGAATCTTGAATAAAGTGTACGAGGTCTTTTCTACCGTGTGTAACACTATCCAAAAACTTTAAAAGGCAACTGATAAAAAATATAAAAATTAACACCTTCAGGATCCAGGAGCTTCTCGATGCCGAGCTGGTTTTTGGCTAAAGTGAAGGCGTGCTCGAGTCTGTCCACGGGGCTCATGCTGCGCACCTGATCCCACTCAAATGTGTCCGGCCTGAAAGCACGCAGAAAGAAGAAACAGAAGAAAAAAAAAGGATATAAGAAGATCCAAAAACAACAAAATATTTGTATTTGTTCAAGGTACAGTGAATCTTAAAAGTAGAGGGACACAGATTGATTTTTCTAGGCTGCTTATGATGCCTGAATCATGCAAATCTCCGGATTGTAGAAAATAGAAACATTGTTTACCGTATTTTTCGAACCATAAGGCGCACTTAAAATCCTTCAATTTTCTCAAAAATCAACAGTGAGCCTTATAATCAGGTGCGCTTTATTTATTAATTCTGGTTGTGCTTACTGACCTCGAAGCAATTTTATGTGGTTATTATGAATGAGTTGAATAAAGTTTGACTTGTCGGTTTTGTTTCGCTTAATGCACCTTATAATCCGTATATAATATTTAACTTTATGTTTAAATGTAAGTTTAGTTTGTGTACATGTTAAGCGCTGACAGACTTTGCTCAAATTTGTTGTAAGAGTTGCTAAAATAAGCAGAACAGGAGCTAAAAGCTAAATCAGCAAAACCATAACGACTGGATAAAATTATTTAAACTGTTGTCAAAAATCATAGTCAAAAGTTTTAAATTATCAAGACTATAGATGCAATCTGAAAGGAGAATAAGAAAAAAATACAGAGCTAAAAGGCTGAAGTAGATCTTAGAGAGCAATGGTTTCGAATTAAAGTGATTTCAATTTATTTCAAAAGATTTTTTTGTACTTACAGTTAAATGAATAAATAAAAGTTACAAATAATATAAAAACAAGGCAGACTATTCCCAATTGAGCTGAACATTTTGATATAATAAATAGTGAATGGTCCACAACTTAAATAGCAGCTTTTTCCACCCTAAAAGAAACTTGGCCAGATTACATGATTTAATCTTTTGTGCTCTCCAGGTTCGTTTAAGCATTTTACAAAGTTCATACTGTAGTACTTTCATTATGTGATTTTACACATTATATACAGAACTACTCTGATATTCTCACTCATCCAGGGATAAATAGATTGGACCCTCAACCTTCCAATTAGAGGATGACCACCCAATCCACTGGGCCAAGTCGTCCCCATAAATGAGTTGTGATATAGCACTACGGATGCAAAGAATACACAATTATTTATTAACAGGAAAACAATAGAGTGGGAGCTGAATTAGAATTCACACAAATATACTTGGCAGCATGTTAAATATATTGTTCCTGTTTTATTTTTATTTATTTTTTTACACACAGATTTTCACAAGCAGCCAGTAACGTTACACCTTTATACTTCTATTTATTTATACTTCATTTGTAAACCTGAGGCGTCTGATATTAGCCGACCAAACTGATCAAAGCCACAAACTTAACAAGTCGTAAACTTCTTTGAGTTTTGAACACCTTACAGTTGTAAACCAGATTCACTTTGGGTTTTCCTCACTCTGTATAAACTTGTACAGTGAAGACGCTCAGTGCCAGCAGGAGGTAATGAATATCTGATTTGTGAGCACCCGATTTTCCACTCAAGCTGAAAATCTACCAACTCCAGCTACCTGCAGAGCGCATCGCGGCTACAACGGATTAAAGAAATATCACCTTGGACAACACAAAGTGTTCTGATTCAAGCACTGTGAAAATGTATTTACCTAAACATACTTAAATTAATGTTTCAGTAATATGCTTTGCAGAGACAAGACATCCCTCAGATGGTGGGGGGCTTGTGTTGAGGCCATGCGAGTGTGGAATGTGTGTGTTCGGTGATCCACTTAAACCCAAGACCTGGGTCTAAACCAACACCGGCCATTCTCACACCTCACAGACTTGTGTGCGAGTGTTTGGATGTCGCTGCTACGGTCAAAGAATTACATAAAGGGGGGAAACACCCCTGATCTCCCCCCCCCACAACCCTTTTTTTTCTTTCACACACAACAGCACACAGAGAATGAGCAAACAGTGACATGGCAGGCTTAAACAGCTCGAGTCGAGCAGAACACACACTCTGCAGATGCTGACCTGTAAACCCAACTTTTCAAACACTTTGCAACATGTTTTAAATACGATCGAGCACACAAACAAACAAACTTGAAACAAACTTGAATAAAACTGAGTAACAAAGAGATATATGGGATGAAAAATGCATTTAAACAGAGAATTAATTGTTTAACATAAAATATAATGAGAGAAATTGCATTTGCATAGAAGATGCAGTGTGAATGCTTATTGCAGAAGAACTTGATGAGAAACATCTTGATGCATGCTCAATAATCCAGGTAGAAAAATCCAAAAAAGTTCAATCTGGTCCTCTGGACATTAAAAAAAAACAAAAGCAAAACAAAGCAAAAAAAATTCTAGAAACGTTTCATCTCTCATCCAAGAGACTTCCTCAGTCTGAGGTGCTGTTTTCAGCTCAGTCTCTTAAATAGCACCTTCTTAGAGTGAATCAACCAGTTTGCTGCTGACAACCAAAACCAGCTGATCA